GAACCCTGGAGAAAATACATGGGGTGAGGTGGAAGTGGATAAAAGGTGGATAAAATACGTAAAAGTCACCTTAGTGGGTGCTCGGGTCTCACAGAGCCACATCCAGAAAAGGGGAAAGCTGGGTTGGGGAAGGAGGGCGAGTAACAGTAAAAAATACAGCGGTAAAGGGCAAAGCCGTGGAGCAGAGATTGAGGCACGCTCTGACATAGTCGGGGTGTGGCTGAGCCCAGGGAAAACTGATGTTGAGTGAGGGCAGAGGAACAAGAAAGTGACCTTTAATTCTGAGAGCACCAGGACATGACTGGGGCCTTTTAAAGAAGAGAGTAGTCCTGGCTGCAAATGGCTGTCTGCGAGAAAATGACGAGCCTCATTTTTGCCAGCTCACTTTTGACTGCTGTATGGAAGATGTGTTAGAAGGAGATAAATATGGAAGCAATGAGACCAACCAGGAAGTGATGGGAAGTGATAGTGGCTTGTACTATTTTTGCCACACGGGGAGGGGGTGACATAAGCTGATTTGAGGACTTGGTGGGCAAGTCTGGAGGACTTTCAGGTTCCCATGTCCTGGATTGAGGGATTAGAGACAGGAGGGCAGTGTCAAAGGCAGGGAGAGTTTATTAAAAGATACACTTCCAAGGGAGAAGAAAAAAAAGGTTCAGAAACTCCATGGTGATGCTGTGCAAAGAGTCGGGCGGTCATTCTTGGGCTTACTCACACATGCCCTGTTCCATGTAGTTCTACATACAACTTCATGCATTTTGGTTTCATGAGTATTAAATTTCCACCTAAAGGCGTGCATTACAGTATTACAATCAACCATAGGTCACCTTCAGACACCCTGGCGAGCCTCTGTGCTGATGGCAGGGGCTGTATTTAGCTGACAGCAAAGGGAGTGTGAGCTTTCTCCTTTGAAACTAGTTTTTTTCCTGTGCTAATTTTGCATCCTTTATGCAAGGCTCTCCAGACCGTATTATACCCGCTACTCTCTGGCCTCGGTGTGCTGTATTGCCCCTCCCTTAGACCTCAGACCTTCCCATTGCTTTCAATGTGGAAAGGAGCCGAGCGAGGTCTTCCAAATTTAGACTATATGAAGTCATGCAAACTCTTTTTTTTTTTTTTTTTTTTTTTTTGTGCTGAGTCCTTGCTTGATCGGCCTGAGAAATACATTACTTGAGGTTGCCAGCCTTGGAAGGAGCCTGGGCTATGTCATGTGACCACGTGCAAACGTCCCAGTCAATGGCCCCAGCTAAGGTCCAGTTGGCAGCAGCTTTAGCTACTAGACGTACGAGTGAAGCTGCCTTCCAGGTGATTCCAGCTGCCACTGTTCCGTCACCCTCCTCTCTGAGTCTTCTGCCTGAGTTACAGTTGTTAGCAACTCTGTTGAGCCCCTGACGGGAAGCGGTTTAAAGGAGAGAGGTTTCTATTGGCTTACAGGTCATCGTGGCAGGGAAAAGCATGGCGACAGGAACAGGAGGCAGCCCGTCAACCCTGTGAGCACGCGCGGTGGGAAGCATAAACTAGGAAGTCGAGCCAGACTTTTCAACCTTGAGGCCTCCACTTAGTGACCAGCTTCTTCCGGTGAAGTTCTACCACCTAAAGGTTCTCCTGATATGGTTGAGACCTTGGCGGGTGAGAGCCAAGGGGAGAAGTTTTATTAAGAGAAAGGGGGGGAAGTGAGAGCGGTTTCTGGGAACAGGAACGGTGGAAGAAGAGGAGAGGGAAGGAGAGGAGTGGAGAGACAGAGAGGGACAGAGACAGAGAAAGGAAGAGGAAGAAGTGGTAGAAATAGGCAGAGTTTCGCCTTTTAAAGGGACAGGGTACAGCTTGCCATGGCCGCAGGCGTGATGCTGGGGTGTCGTGCTCTGCAAGGTCCCCCCAAGGGGCGGGGCCAGGTGTGCAAGGATGCTATCATCCCCGGCCTTCTCAAACACCACCAGCTGGAGATAAGAATTCAAGCACAGGCACTTAAGGGACAGGTGTTTCACTTTCAAACCACAGCTTCCCCCTGGCTGAGGTCTGAGATGTGGAGCCCAGATAAATCCATACCGTGATGCCCTGTCTGGATTTCGGAACCACTAATATTTGAAATAGGTTGTCACACAGAAGAGGTAACTGGGGCAGTGGGAGAACATCTCCCAGGGAAGAAACAAAGAGTTATCATGAAATTTGAGGACTCGCTTCCGGAACACGTAATCACGTGCAGTATCTTAGTCACCTGGATTCGCAGACATTGAGGCGGGAGGGAGCTACCAAAAACTGCACGTGGATTCCCCTCGACTTCACAGGACTGAGAGAGATCACCCAGGAAGGGCAAGAGGTGGACCGAGAGGCTGGCTCAAGACCTTCTCTGAGAAAGTTCGGTATTTGGAGACAAGAAAAAGCAGAGGTAGAATAGAAGGGGAGGGGAGGAATGAAACCTCCATTGAAAGGTTAAAAAAAAAAAAAGATAAAGATAGCCATTGGGGTTGACAGGACAGAACACCCATGACCTTGAAAAGAACAATGTCAGTGGGGGTGGTTGGGACAGAAGCTTAACAGAGGCTGTGATCTCTCAGAGAAGCAAGAACTGTCCTTACCTCTGTCACCTCAGAAGTTGGGTTAGCCCTGCCACAGCTGCTGAGGTCCTAGTTTATCTGCTTAGAGAAACAAAGGCACCTGGGCTGAGTAAACAGGACACAGTTTTTTTGTTTTGATTTGGTTTGGTTTTTGGTTTTTTGAGACAGGGTTTCTCTGTGTAACCAGCCGCCCTGGCTGTCCTGGAACTCAATCTGTAGACCTTTGAGCTTCAAACTCAGCAATCTGCCTCTCTCCATTCGCCTAGTGCTGGGATTAAAGCGTTCACCACCACCCCCCAGCCCCTGCACACACAATTTTGACATCAGACTGAATTGGGTTGAAACAGCCCTGGTCAAAGTATTTAAATGTATTGAGTTTCTTTATCTACAAACCCTAGGGGAGTTTAAAATAAAAAATAAAAAAAAAAACCCTTTCTTCCCCAGATTCTGTAGCGGGGGGCTGAAAATTGATTTGCAAAAGGCGGACTTTGCAAATTTGCGGTACTTAGTTTGGGAGAGAAACTCAGAGATAGTAACTAGAGGAGTGGAAGGAATCAAGGCTCTTTTACAGCAGTAACAAAAGGCAGTGAATCTGTAGAGAAATAGCAAGGGCTTTTAGGGGTGGCAAACTGTGGGAGGTAAGTACATGGGGAGCAGGGAAGCTAGTGGAAAATAAGGGCTGTTTTAGTGAAGTTTGTTAAATTGATTCCTCTTGGTGATTCTGGAGTTACCTTGGGGTTGTCAGGGGAGACAGAATCACAAATGGAAATATGTCCTGCTTTTAGGAAAGTAGGGAGGAGGGCCTAGGAACTTTTGCCTGCGCCGTCCTCCATTGTTTTTTAAGTTAAAATAGGCCATATGTTGAAGCGATGTATTTTGGGATAGCACATTCTAATCCTCTACAAGGACCAGGACATTAACAGTCTGGGGATGGCGGAGTCGGTAGAATACTTTCCTTGCAAGCATGAAGACATGAGTTTGATCCCCCAGAAACCACATAAATAATAATAATAAACATGAGGGCCGGTGCATGCTACAAAGTCAGGGAGTGGGACAGACAAAGAGATGCTTGACAGCCCTGGCTTTAGTCAAGAAAAATCTGCAGAGGGGCCCCAAGTCCAAGAATCAGAGCCTCTCAAAGGCTGAGGTAGCTACAGAGCAAAAAGGAGGAAAAGAAACTGAAACGTGTCCATTTTGGCCTGAGGAGGTGCGGCTAGGGAAATAAGGCTGGTGGTGGACTGGGGAACAACAGGCACTCACAGATGTCTCTTGTAGCCAGTATCACCCTCATGAAGGGCCAGGAGAGGGAGGAGGGCACCATTGCAGAAAAACTCGTTTCTTCAGGACTGGGAATGAAATCTCTTTAGTTTGGGGAATTGGCATTGGCATTGTTAACCAGAAAGGGAAGCAGCTGATGTAACTGTGACTAAAGACTTGCTTGTAATCCCAAAGCCAGGGAGTTAGAGACGGGAGGATCCTTGTATTCTCTGGCCAGCCAACCCAGTGTACAGGCTGGGGAAAGACCTGTCTCAGAGATCCAGGACAGCCAGGGCTGCACAAAGAAACCCTGACTCAAACAAACACACACACAAAAAAAGGTGCACCGTTTCTGGGGAACAACACCTTAGGTTGTACTCTGTCCTTTACACGTGCACCTGCATGCGCGTGCACACACACACACACACACACACACACACACACACACAGAGTGATATATGTTTGTAATCTAACAAATAAAGCTTGCCTGAAGATCAGGTTGCAGAGCTAAGCCACTAGAGGCCAGGCAGTGGTGGCACACACCTTTAATCCCAGGACTCAGGAGATGGAGGCAGGCAGATCTCTGTGAGTTCAAGACCACCCTGGGCTACACGAAAATGATCCAGGCTAAAAGAAAAACAAGAGCTCATACAAAGGTGAAGGCAGCACTTGGGATCACATGCCATTAATCCCAGCACTAGGGAGGTGGAGACAGAAGTGATATGGCTGGGCAGGGAAAGGAATATAAGGTGGGAGGAGACAGGAGCTCAGTGCAATCTGAGACAGCAGCCTGAGCAACTGTTACTCTGAGGTTTCAGTTTAGGCAGTCAGTCTGAGGATGTGGTCTGAGCATTGGTAGAGCTAAGAACTCTAGTGGCTGGCCTCTCTGCTTCTCTGACCTCTCAGCTTTCACCCCTATATCTGACTCTGGGCTTTCATTATTAAGAACAATTAGAATTTGTGCTATACACACACAGACACACACACAGGAAGAGAGAGAGAGAAAGAGAGAGAGGGAGGAAGGAAGGATAGAGAGAGAGAGAAAGGAAGAAAGGAAGAAAGGAAGAAAGAAAGAAAGAAAGAAAGGAAGGAAGAAAGAAAGAAAGAAAGAAAAGAAAGAAAGAAAGAAAGAAAGAAAGAAAGAAAGAAAGAAAGAAAGAAAGAAAGAAAGAGAAAGAACAAGTATAATAGGTTGGATATGATGACAGAGAAGGAAGCCTGAACACTGCAGAGAAAGGCTTTGCAGGGAGGCGGGACTTTGTCTGCCACTCAAGTCGGTTTCCCGGGTGGACAAGCTGGGGAGGGGATTCCAAGCAGAGAAAATTCTCGTGTGAACGCCGAAGGCGGGAACTAAGGATGGCACATCCCAGAACGGTGAGTAGCTGGGCATTACTCCCGTGTAGCCGGTGAAGAACCGGCGCAGGAGGCGAGGGATGGGTCCAGAAGATGAGATGGAACCGGGGTGAACTCACTTCCTGCCGAGAGAGGAGTTTCAGTTTTGTCCTGAAGTGAGCAGGAGGCTGAATAGTTGTTGATAAGGAAGTGGTAAAAACTAGTCCTATACATGAAAGATAAATCGGGCGTTTTCTTAGCTTTGTGAAGTGCCTTGATTTTTGAAAGACAAAAATAATAAATAAAAAATAAAATGATGCTGTGCCGTGTTTTCCAGTCGCACCTAAGATGCTCTTGTTCCCTTGCTGGGAGACACTCATGAACCCACCCCATAGAATACACACCAGAAACAGCGCCCAGGTGGCATTTTTCCCACGGTTGCATGTGACCTGGGTTAACTATGAATGTGTCCTAACCCAAAACCTTAAACTTACTTAAAACATCGTGATTTATTTTACAATTTATTTGTTAACTTATTTTTGTAACTCAGCTGCACGGTGTTTGAGCAGGAACTGTGGGTGACAAAGTCGTGTTGAAGTGTCAGAGTTGTGGTCCTCTAGAAGGAATGATGTTAGCTTTTCCTGCACAGAGGAAAGAAAAATTTAGCTTTTCATTCTTTCTCTAGAAAGAATAGAGCAGGCCCTCCGATGTCTCTCTCTGGCCTCCATGTGCACAAATTTATACAATGCATACCCCACACTCCACACACATGCATACTCCATGCTCACACATGCATACCCCACGCTCACACATGCATACCCCACACTCCACACACATGCATACCCCACACTCCACACACATGTACCCCACACTCCACACACATGCATACCCCACGCTCACACATGCATACCCCACACTCCACACATGCATACACCACGCTCACACTCATGCATATATCACACTCACACATGTGCAGACTCCACACTCACACACATGCAAACTCCATACTTACACACATGCAGAGTCCACACTCACATACACACACACACTCCATACTCCACACGTATACCCCCCACATATGCATACCTTATGCTTACACACATGCAAACTCCACACTCATATACATGCATAGTCTATACTCACATACATGCATACGCCCTCACAAATCCCACACTCACACACATGTCTGCATACTACACACACACCACACACACACACCCCACACTCACACACGCATACTTCTCTCACACACATACATACTCCACACACACAGATGTATACCTCACTCACACACTTCCATACTCCACACACACATGTATACCCTACAGTCACACACATATATAGTCCACACTCACACAAAGCAGAAAAGAAGTCAGTGGAGATGTAGCTGGTAGTTATATGGTAATGACATTTAGCTCTTGTGTTTTTTTTTTTTTTTTTCGAGACAGGGTTTCTCCGTAGCTTTTTGGTTCTTGTCCCGGTACTAGCTCTTCTAGACCAGGCTGGCCTCGAACTCACAGAGATCCGCTTGCCTCTGCCTCCCGAGTGCTGGGATGAAAGGCGTGCGCCACCACCGCCCGTCTTCTTGTGATGTTTTTAAATATTAGCTTTATTGAGATCTGTTATGTCTTTGCTGCCTTCTTTCTTCCTCGTGCGGAATTCATTTTTGTCCCTAGTTTCCACCAGCAACTCTGTATCCTTCTTCTTAAAGAGCATTCTCAAACTCGAGTATGTTTTAAACACCACAAACCCTGGATAAGCTACTAGTGCTGCGGTCTCCTTTATTGGTGTCCCTAAATATGCCTGCAGCTTTGCAAACAGCCGTTTTATTAGCCCACCCCGGTTTCACAGTTTGAGCAGGCCATCTGTTGCCAGGGCCCTGACGGATGCAACAGTGTTCATATTAGCCATCCTCTCTGTTCATCACCTACACAACACAGCCCTTTGTGTGTACAAAGAAACCACAGGAATGAAGAGGATATGTGGTACATATGCAGGCTATCCATATTTCCACATACAGTATTTGCTGTGTATGTGGCATGCATATTTAAAGAACTGTTACCACTGCTCCCTGGAGGGGACTGGGACACAGAGACTAGATGAGGAGGGATTTTGATTGTATCCCTCTTTCTTTATTGTTATTTTCATGTTTATGTATTCAATCCTCAAAATTTTGATTTAACTTCTGCTCAAAAAATTTCCCTAGGTACTCTTTTGAGGATGGCTAAAATTTAAGCATGAGGGTTCACTTATGGTTAATCTATATGGTTTATTTTTGTGGAATTATTTTTAACCTTTTTTTATATTTCTATTTTTGCAGTACTAGGGATTAAACCCAGGTCCTCATGCATGCTAGGTACGTGCTCTACCACTGGGCTATACTGTACCCCCAGTCTTTTATTCTCTCAGTCAGGATTCTCCTGCCTCTGCCCTCAGGCAGCCAGGGCTGTGTTTGTACAGTAATATGACTTATTTTAAGACTCTGATGTCAAGGCTCCGACAATGCATGGAGATCAGCCCTGATCTGCCATTCACTACACCGTGCCAAATAGAACAGTAGTTCCCAGGCTTGTCCATGTTCAAAGTTGCTCCACAGCACATACAACATTGACTTTCAGGCTAAGTCTATCCCTTAATTTCACCTCAATTTTTAAAGATATTTCTTTTATTTTTATTTCTTTCTCTCTCTCTCTCTCTCTCTCTCTCTCTCTCTCTCTCTCTCTCTCTC